CACTGGCCGTGTGCTTCCATGCAAGCAAGTCAGCAGCACAGCTGCTCCTGTTGCTATCTGGACTTATTTTATGTCAATTTGTTTATAAATAAAAATCAATACAGATGCCAATATCTTTTTAATGAGTTGACAGTTAAATTGTTGTGCATTCACTACCCTTCCTTGGTCCTAGTGTTCTTACACCGAAAATGAGGACCAGGATCATATGCCTCAGACCTCTTCTAATTTCAGCAGTCACAAAGAACTGGCTGTCTTCTAAATGTCTTCTGGCCTCAGCACCACAGGGAGCCCCTGAAAGGTAGCATCTGAATCTAGCCTCTATCCTCAGAGGGCTCCGCTCTGGTCCACGAGACAGTGATGCGCACAGAGCTGCGCGAGGAGGGTGGGAAGCAGCGTCAGGGTCAGCTGTGCCAAAGACTCCATGGCTGGCTGCACCCTCACCCTCCTCGGGATGAGGGCAGTGCAGGGCAGCCTGCACTGTACCCCTGCACTGAGCAGAAGTCAGCACTCACTCCACCCAGGGCCGCACGCTGCTCTCCACAGGGCCTGTGTGCTTTGCAGAAGAGAGATGGTGAAGGGAGCTCAGCACAGTCCAGCTGAGTCTTACCACTAACGCGAATGCTCCACAGGAATTAACATTATCTTCATCTTCACAGCAGACTCATTTGATAGAGGAAGAAACAAGTTCAGATTGCACAGGCAGGACACACCAAGAAATCTGACCCTGAAGCAGAGTGCTAGCCAGCCCAGCTGCTCGCTGTGAGGCTCTGGGTGGGTTCTTTCCCTTCTTTGGGTCTACCTGGCTCTAAGAGTTTGAGTGAGGATCTGTGGGTTGGCGAGCTCTCACCAGCGAGTGGTGCTTCACAGGTGTTATTTCCTGCCACGCTTTCTCCCTGCTTCCCGTCCCCCGGCACACTGACCTTCCTGGTAATCTTAAGCACACCATTCCATCTTGTGCCTCAGATCTTCGCTCAGATGTCATCTCTTCAAGGTCACCCTCCTGGCCATCACAGCTTCCTGAGTTATAGCTTCTGACCACCTGCTCTCATGGAGTTTATAGGAGCAGGCTGACTAAGGGTTAATATCCTTTCCACTTGGAAATATGAGGTTAGAACCAGCATGAGGTTCTAACTAGTGACGCTGAAGCAGTCAGCATCAAGCCTGCCAGACTAGACTAGCCCACTTTTCACAGACTCCTGCACATGGGAACCTGAAGGTTGTGTTGTTCATTCAGGATTCTTCCACAGAGGGCCCTACCAGACCGTGCCAGTGAACCCATCCAGGAGACCCAGCATACACTTACCAGTGTATGTGGCAGGTCAGGTGCTGCGGGCCAGGCGTCATGGAGCAAAACGGCTGTGCCCCATCTTCCATCTTGTCACCAAAAGTGTACACCTTGCTGGTGAATGGTTTTTGGAGGGTTTATAGTGCTAAATTGTGTACATTATTCTTTTGTAAACATTGTAACACCCATATAGAATAATTGGTTTTTTCCACTTTAAGGTGCAGTAGAAGCTTAGAGAAGTAAAATTACTTCCCTAAAACCCCGTAACTAAAAATAGGTGCAATCCCTCACATTGCCTGCTCCCACTGGAGAACCAGGGAACCGGGCAGACTCAGGACTCTCATGGCCCAGGCGTGGCCCTGCATTCACTGTGACGGGAAATAGCCTTACAGGAGGATGGTGCAAATGGACCCCTAGGGCCAGAGGTCAGGGCCTTGTGAAGGTCAGAGTCCTTACAAGCTGTTCCCCATAGCTGCCCAGGTAACAGCTCTACAACAAGGGTACAAGCCATCTGCTTACAAGCACTGTCCGAAGGGAGCTATATCTCTTTGAGAGCCCTATAAGGAACCTGCCTCCTAAATCACTAAATCAGTACACACAGAAAGCCATGGTGTGTCAAAGAACTCGAAGTCCAGATAACTTACAACCAGGGGTCATCTTCACCTTAAGTAGTGTCTTGGCATAGTTGTTTCCCAGAGGATAGAAATACAAAGGTAACCAAAGGTTAAGTATATAGCAAAAAAAGGACTTGTTAACCTCTAACCTCTGAGATCAGAATTGAATGCTGTTTAAAACAAAACCAAAAGCCTCAGCTTAGGAGATCGTTTAACAAAGTAAGACCTTCCAGTGATAACTAGGAATTGCTAAAGCAGTAGAGCTGGCCTTAGGCAGACCCTGCTCACAGCCACGTCAATGCACAAGAGGCCATTCCATTCATTCCCACACTCCAGAAGCCTGTAAAGGCAGAGAAAATGTGGGAGAGCAAGTCAGAGCCAGACACCTTATGATTGCAGTGCCACACACACAGAAACACTGACAGTGCTGAGCAGACCAGGAGGAAAACACAGAGTACTTCAGGGGATGACAGGGGTGTCAGAGCCTGGGAATGCACAGAATTTACCTGGTTCCGTCCCTAGCACCACCAGAAATAAAAAAGTAACAGAAGAACCTAGGCTCCTCTTAAGGCTGGTCAAGGAAGGACTGGTAAGCCATTTCTGGAGCCTTCTGTCTCCTCCCCATCTTTGGTGCCTCCTTCCTTCTAGCCAGGTGACACATGTCCTGTCCACTGCTCCACTGCCCAGATTGTCAGCCCTAAGCAGCAATGCCCACAGCAGCCCTCATTGGTCTTTGTGGAACTACAAGATCATTCTCTCGGACAAGGTACTGGTTGACCAGGAGGACACACTGCCCCTGCTGAATGCCCTAACCTGTCCTTGGGAAGCCTGAGAATGACTTGCTGGGCTTTTTTTTTTTTTTTTTTTGTGGAACCAGGGATTGAATCTGGGCCCTTGCGCTTGCCAGGCAAGCACTTATTCTACTGAGCTATTTCCCTGGCCCCATGCTCTTACTTTTGATCACAGCTAAAAGTATGAAACTTCAGAGACATAAAAGCACTATCCATCTGCCTTGCTGGCCCTCAGCATTTTGCAGCTGCTTACCTTATTTCTTGCTTAGTCTTGAGAAGCACCCAACTTAGGCTGAAATGACATAGGCCCCAGCATCCGGAAGGCTCTATCTGCGGTACTCCTTGCGAGCCTGCTCTTCAACATCCCTGCCTGCTTCCAGGAGGCTGAGCTCATTTCCCTCCCCTGTCCGCTGCCTCTTCACTGGCTTCCCTGGGCAGTTAGTATGGACTCTGATTTGGGAGCTGCAAGGCAGAAGAAAAGCAGACATCTTCGATGTGGGTTCAGCCCTTGGGGCCATCTGGACCCCAGTGGACACTACAGATAATGTGAAAAGAGGCATTCCACCACATATCTGTGGGGCAATCTTTGACCCCCCACTCCCATTCCTAGATAGCCTTAAATTGCTGGATATTTTATTTTGTTCCCTCCCGTGGCAAAGGGAGTCCGTCAATCAGGTATCGAGTGAGAGGGTTAGATGGAACTGTTAGGTCCCACATTCTACTCCACACTGAGCTACCTACAAAGTGTCAAATGAAGCCTTGAGTCTTGTGTATAGCCTGGTTCTCATGCAATGTGTTTGTATTTAAAAGTTTATTTTTAGAAGTATTTAGTGGTCACAATAAGTCAACTTTTACCCAATTCCAAAAAGAACTGATACTCTGCTCACAGAAGGCTGTTAGAGACTGCAAGAGAGGATGGTGTGGCTTGAGATCTGCCAGTAAAACAGGAAGCAGGGCCACCAAGGTCAGTGGGGTGAGGGATGTCTCATGCAGGACAAGCCAGCCAGTGGCAAGGCTGTGAGATAAGGAGAGCAGCTCTGGTTGTGCTCGTGTGTGTCACCCAGCAGTGCCCTTCTCACAATCCACTGTCTCCTTCGGCACCCCCCACCGCACTTGAGTTAACATCTCCTAACAGCACACTGGCCAGGTGCCATGAGAGCAACTCAAGGATGGCAGAATCGAGGAAGACTTGAAAGCAGAGAAGCACACAGAGCTGCAGGCTCTCCCTCTGTGACTCAAGCAGCTGTGGGAAGTGGAGGCAGACCTGGGAGCAGGGCTGGACAAGCAGAGGGCCCCAGCCTGCTCTCCCCAGACCCTCACGCTGCTGCCACATGGGGCAGGGCTCTTCCTTGTCCCATGGTCTCTTCTCAAGCTCCCCATATCCAAGCTCCTACCTTCATACCTAAGGTAAGCAAACTGCAAGAACATCTTCGGCACAGCTGCCCACAAGGAAAGCAGTCATCACACTTCAGCTGAAGAATCGCCAGGAGCCTCCTCAATCACTAGAGCCAGAAGTAGTGTGTGAACTGCACTTACCAAAGTTCCCATCCCCAACAAGCAGGGCATCACCAAGTCTTGGTTCCAGTCAAAGAACAAGGATGACCTCGTCCTTCAAGAAGAGATGGCATGGGGCTGGGGAGATGGCTCAGTGGAATAAGCACTTCCCTGGCAAGCGCAAGAACCTCAGTTCAATCCCTGGTTCAGCAAAAAAAAAAAAAAAAAAAAAAGAGAGAGAGAGAGAGAGAGATGGCAGTGCTTAGCCAACTTTCCAGGACTCTTATAGGCCTTGACCACTGCTTAGAATAGAGAAGACCCCAGCCTATGGATTTTTTGTTCATCTTGGGAGCAGCTAGGCCTGATCAATGATCAGTGAAGCTTGGGATTGGTGACCAAAGAGGGAAGTGAAGGCTTTAGAAAACAAGGCCAAAAGAGGTAGCAACTGCTAGCCTGCTGGGCACTGGGACCTGGAGAGGGACAATATAATGGATTCTGGAAGCTGCCCAGACAGAGCCCCATGAGGGCAGCTGCATCTGCATACAGTGTATGGCTAAGCCAGTAGAGGTAAGGCAAGTGGTTCCATTTGTAGTAGGCCCTAAAGGGAAAGCATTATTGACCCTCATGAGATCACAGAGGTGGCTGTGCAGGCCCCGCCCACTTCCTAGGACCCTGGTTCTTGCTGTCTCCAGTCCAAGCTCCAAGAACCCTGAGAGGGCCAGGGATGTAGTTCAGCAGCATAAGTGCCTGCCTGGCAAGGGCAAGGTCCTGAGTTTGATTCCTGGTAGTAAAAAAAAAGAGCCCTGAGAGCAGCTGGCTCAGGGTTGGGGGCACTGACAGCTCAGGGCTACCACCCCCAGTGCCCCCCCAAACCAACAGGACATGAAGGTCTTAGCCCTCCTCTTGCCTCCCATTACTGTTTGCCCTGAATGCCCCCTTTGCAACAGTGGTGGCTCCCAAACCCTCCAGGACACAGTGAGAAGAGATGCAGGCTGTTGGTACCTACCACACAAGCTGAAGGCTGGGGTGTGGGTGAGTGAAGGGATGATGTGTGTGCCTGTGTGCACTGCTCATAAGTGAGGCCGCAGGGCCTGGGGCAGGGTACAAGGACCCAGCTCTAATCTTGAGCCTCCACCAATTTTATATATATATATATACAAAAGCCATCTTTCAAGAGGAGACACAGCTTTCATCAGTGTGCCAGAAACCCTAAGAACCCTTGGGCATACAAGCCCAACCAGCCCTTCCCATCTCAGCAGCTTTTAGTCCAGGCAGAAGAAGCAGACAGCTGGCCAGCATTCACAAGTCCTAGGCTAAGTAAGGCCTCTTTTCCAAAAGCCCCACCTTAAAAGATTGCTCAGGTGCAGATGTCTAGGGGCTGCAAAACTCTAGTTGGCAGGAAATCACAAAGGCATCTAGGAGCCCCCTATTCTGTGGGTTGGGTAGGAGAGAGGACCTCTGGAGGTTGAGAGCATATGGTAGAAGGGGCCCCTAGAGACTTCTCTGGTCCTTCCTGCCGCTTCAGGCAAATCCTTTTGGTCTGCCCACGGGATCTGTAGTCTGGCTCCATTCTGTCAAATTGTTTCTTGCCCAAGGCCCCAGGTGGGTGGCAAGCCCATTTCTGCTGGCCCTCTCATCCTATTCTCAGGACCTGCCCAATCTCTGCTCGTCTGTGAACCTTGCAGGAGCCTCAGCACCACTGGATCCCTCAGAAGACCTTGGACTCTGGCAAAAGCCATCAGCAGTGAGGAATCTCAAAATCCCTTCTGAGGAAGACCCCAATGGCCACCAGGAAGGGATCAGCACAAACACGATTTGGGGAATCCACTGTGGAGTTCCAGGACAAGCAGCCCCTGCCAGAACTCCCCCCAGGAGAGTGCCTACTTGAGGACTTGGATCTCGAGGTGGTCCCGGACACACATACACTATATGTGGGCCACCTGAACCCCCAGTTCTCAGTTCCTGTGCTTGCCTGCCTGCTGCGAGACACCTTAGAGCGGCTGGAGCTGCCAGTGTCACGGGAGCACATCCAGGTGGTAAGGCGTCCGCGGAATGCCTACGCGCTGGTACGGGTAGCTGCCCACAAGGCCACCCTGGCCTCCCTCCACTGGCGCCTACAGATGGCCCTGGAAGAGCAGCTGATCTTCAAAGAGCTGACAGCTCGCGGGAAGGAGCTGGTATTGAGTGAGGGGTGGGGGCCGGTGAGCCGCAGAGAGGTAAGTGAGACTCCCCCAGGTGAACTCCAAAGGTGCCCCCCAGGGAAGAGCAAGGCCTGGGGACAAATTTGCAAACTAGGAGCCTGCCACTGCTTCACTGGCCTCCAGCTGGCACTGTCACTTTCCCCAGAGGAACTCTGGCCCTCAGGAGTACCTCCATCAGAGCCTGGTAAAGAAAGGTGAAGCGTGGGCTCCTCCCTGGTCCTTCTGCTTCCCAGTGCAGGGCAGGGCAGCCCAGGCATACAGGAGTCCTCTGCTCTGTGACCCACTCCATTGTTCGGTGGACAAATGCCAGCACCCACTCTGTGGCAGAAACTAAAGGCCTGGGCTACACCTTCCACCCCTGTGCAGAGCCACACACCATCAGTCACAAAGTTGAGGTGGCTCTGGAGGACACAGGGATTTTTACTGCCCCCAGGAACAAATTCACAGGGAATATGAACTCCAGACTGGGACTCAGGGACCTGAATAGGCGCTCAGGGTAGAGGACATAGTAGGCAGAAGAACCAGCGATTCAGAGATGTGGGGAGGAGACAATGTCATATTTTCAGAGCAAGCTGCTTGTTGTCCTTAGAGCCCAGGCTGGAGGCTGCAGAGATGCTGAAGAAGGAAGCAGATTGTCCTGCAGTGCCCAGGGCTCTGGAGAATTTTTATCAAAGCAGGGCAGGGATGGCTTTGCCGAGGGCTGGGTAACTACGCAGATGATCTTGTTCTTCCTTCTTGGACTGCAGAGGTTGCAGAACTAAACAACTATGACACCTTGCAGCATGTGTGCCTGCTTCCCTGTTGGCATGACTGACCCTGTTTCTCAGGCTGTATTGATCTTCCTGGGGAGCTATAGCACTCACAGGGCAGTGTCCCTCATTTCTGTGCACCAGCCCACACTGAGCTCTCAGCCTCCAGGAGGCAGTCACAGCCCAGAATTAGTGAAAGGCTTTTAGGGGGAATGATTGTCTATTTACACTAGAGTGGGCAAGGGGAACAGATGGGGAGACTGACAAGGCGCAGACGAGCAAAGTGGTCCTGAGGACTTGTAGTTCCTGGTGCCCTCTGGAATACAGCAGAAACAAATGTGGGGGAGATGAAAGTGGAGATTCAGGAAGATGTGCCAGTGGCCCCAGAAGTGGTAGGCAGAGGTTCCAGGGAGATCAGGAAAGCAGTCAATCTCCATTTAGGGACCTACAGCTCTGCATAGGCAACCTTAGGGAGCTGAGGTACCTTCTGGAATCACCTGGGCCTTGGCCACAGGCCTAGCAGTCCATTTGGGAAAAATCTTGCCCACAGTTATGCCAGCTCTCAGTCCAGAGAAAACACCATCTTTTCTTACCCACACAGGCATCTAACAGCCAGCGTACCTAGAAAGAGCCCTACCCAAAAACTGGTTTAGACCCTTGACCCAGTAGGGTGGTGGCACACTGGCCACAGAAGGGTGGGCAAAATAGGCTCTCTCAGCCTGGGAGATCAGATGCCGATGGGTCTAGACCTTAGGCATGGTTGCAGGTGTAACAGTCTGTCTAAAGGCAAGGATCCTGACTTCTTCCTGGACACATACACGCTGTTCTTGATCCCTACCAGCAGGAGGAGAGTGGCCCAAGCCCAGGCCCCAGCCCTAGGCCCAGTCCAGGCTCCAATGTCCCACTGCCAGCTTGGCCTGCACATTCTTCACCTGATAGGCCCTGGGCCTGGAGGCGGCAGAGTTCCCAAAGCCGGCCCAGAGGTGTGTGCTCAGACAGCGCCATCGCCCACCAGGAGATCCTGGGCCAGGAGCAACTCTTCCAGGGAGCCTTCCTGGGCAGTGAGACAAGGAACTTGGAGTTCAAGCGAGGCAGTGGGGAGTACCTGAACCTGGCCTTCAAGCACCATGTGCGGCGCTACGTGTGCGCCTTCCTCAACAGTGAGGGGGGCAGCCTGCTCGTAGGTGTCGAGGACAGTGGCCTGGTACAGGGCATCCGCTGCAGCCACCATGACGAGGACCGTGCACGTCTACTGGTAGATTCTCTCCTGCAGGGCTTCAAGCCTCAGGTCTTTCCTGACGCCTACACACTCACCTTCATTCCTGTCATTACTACCTCCAGCACCAGCGTGCCCCTCAAGGTGAGCCTGCAACAGGCAGACCTGTCATCTATCATCACCAACAGGATGGTGGCCCATGCTGTCTGATATAGGCAGTAGGGGAGCACGAGATTGGGGAAAGGAGCCCCAACAGGCTGCACTGAGGAGCCAGGGCACAGTGAGAAGCAGGGTGGACTAGGGCTGCCACTGACAGTACAGCCCCTGCCAGAGCTGCCATTGCCCCTGCCAAGGTCCTCCGCCTGACTGTGCACACCCCTAAGGCCCAGAGTGAGCCACAGCTGTATGAGACGGACCAGGGAGAGGTGTTCCTGCGACGTGAGGGGAGCATCCAGGGCCCGCTGTCCGTCAGCGCCATCCAGGAGTGGTGCAGACAGGTGAGGTACTTAGGCCGGGTTAGGCTTGGCCAAGCTGAACAAAGCCCCTGTAGACACTCAGTGAGCAGTCTGGATCCTGCATCTCCCCAGGAGCAGACTCAGTGACTTAGGTTAAAGCCCCTCTCACTGTTTGGGAGCTGAGAAGAGGCCCAAACATGCTTCCCTGTCTCTGTCTCTATCTTCATCTTTCTCTGGTACTGAAGATTGAACCCAGGACCTTTGCACAGTGACCTATATCCCCAACCATTTAAGACAGAGTGAGGGGCCAGGGAGATGACTCAGTGGAATAAGCACTTGCCTGGCAAGCACAAGGGCCTGAGTTCAATCCCTGGTTCCACAAAAAAAAAAAAAAAAAAAAAAAGACAGTCTAAGTTGTCATCCTGAAGTACAGCATGTGATCCTCCTAGCTCAGTTTCCCAAAATGGTAGAACCAAACAGTCTCTTTTTAAAAGTCTGTGTCCTAGTTTCCATTGTGTCCACATCACAAAGTGGCCAGGGAAGAGGGTGGAGTTTAAGTTACAAGGAAACTCCAAGGGCTGTGCATTGCATGTGTGTATGTGGGGGGAGCCATGAAGAGAAGGGACAAGAGTACTAGACAGAGTGCCTCCAAGGAGGCACCTTTTCAGAAGGGCAGGTTGGGCAAGGATGTGACAGAGGAGAGAAGGACATGGCTAGGTGCCCAGCCTGCACCTGCCCTGGCCTGGGGAGGCTATGGGACCGCAATCCTTCCCAGCATCCAGCATGCTGGCAGCTCATCAAGACCCAGGGCCAGGAGACCTGGGTACCTAGTTGAGGCCTCCCAGGCACTGGCTCACCCTAGGGGGAGGGTGACCATTCTGGGACAATGTCAGCTTGGCCATCTGCTGCTACACTGTCCCCTCAGAAGTGGACAGCAGAGCTGGGCAAGCTGGAGGAGAAAGTGAAGTTGCTGACAGAGGAGAAGGAGCGGCTTCAGCAGCAGCTACAGCAGTACCAGCCTGTGTCCTGCACCTGCTGTGTCCTGTGAGGCCCCACAGGAGGTGGCAGGCATCATGGTGCCACTCGGCTGGGCGAGGTGGGGCATCCCAGTGGACATCTGAGCAATAAAGCACACCTGGACCTCACAGAAGTGGGCCAGACCTGCAGCCACCTCTCCTTCACACACAGCTGCAGTAGATGTGGCTTTTGCTGAGCAGACCCAGTCTGAGGGTTGAGAACTGTGCTCGGCACACCATCAATGCACCCCACATGCAGAATGCATTGGCCAGTTACCCTACCACTGAGCTCTAAGGGATTATCCTTCCAAAATGCTCTTTTTGCCCAAGCTGGAGTCTACAATCCAGTCTGCTAGATGGCTAAGAGAAGTCTACCTTGAGAAGATCCCTCGCACCCAGCAAAGCATATTTGGTAGATGTGGTCATGAGATAAACAGAACACCCCGCAGCCCCACTCTGACTTGCAGAACTTGTAATTGTCAAAGCCCCCTAATAAATTACATGCTCCTGAAATGCAAATGGTCATTCCTAGGACCCTTGCTCAGCCAGACTGATACTGCTGGGTCATGAGTCCCTTGCTCAGGCCACCTCTACCCAGGAGGCAGAGCCCAGCCAGGGCTCCTGCCACAAAGATGTGGAGGACAGAACAGTCTCTGGCTCAGCTGTCTTAAAAGACCAGGTGCCTGGGACAAATCACCTGCCTCTTCAGTTTGTTGACCTGTATGACAGACAGCGGGAGGGGCCCTGAGCCTGTGTCAGCTGTGGCAGAGCAGCATCTGGCCAGGAAAGGTCCGACTCCCCTAAGGCATCTGTGGTCCCCGGGGAGGATTCCCACTCTGGCCATTCCCCTGCCTTCCCTACTACCTGAGACTAAAACCAGAGTCCTTTCTACCATGCCCATGCTCCTGCTTCATCTGGAGCAAAAGTCCGTGACCTCAGCTCCTCCCACTGTTCTTATGCCGGTCACGCCAACTTTGTACTAGCTGCTGGCAACCAGAATTCTCTTCTCCAACATAGCTGCACGGCTCCCATTTCCTTTCTACCTGCAAGTCTGTGCTCAACCTTACTATCCACCCGCTTTAAATCTCTCCCCAGCTTCCCTTCCCTTCTGCTTTCATCCTTTCTCTGTAGCACTGTCATACTATTTCCTCCACTAAAATGTACACTTCAGGGGACAGGGATCTTGGTCTCTGTTCAGAACCTAACACAGTTGGTATGTGACAGATATCTAGTATTTGCTGGTGAAACTTTCAGACCTCCTAAATTTGAGGTCTGAACCTGAAATTATGGACCTTTGTCATTTCACAGAACCTGGGTTCCAGGGAGCCATTTTAGCTGATCACCCCCACTTCCTTGGTCTGAAAGCGGTTGACCACATATTACAGAGTAGACCCAGAAAATAGCTTTGAAACCAAGGCTTTACCCCATTCCCCAGGGAGGGGACATCTGGACCAATCACTACTGCTGAGATCTGGTTTCCCCATGCACAGGACTCAACCTTAGCCTTGACACCACTCACACTGGTTACAGGGACCAAATATGATCATCGGTGGACACACATTACCAAGATCCTGCTGCAGGCTCACCAAAGCTGCTTAAGAGCTGTAAGAATATAAAGAACGTGTTTCTCTAGCTGGGCATGGTGCTGTACACCTCTAATCCTAGTTCTCTTGAAAGCTAATTGCTAACTCCAGCCCAGCTTAGTGAGGTCTTGCCTCAAAATAAAAAAAAGATCTGGGGGCCTGGCCCTAGCTCAGGCCTTTAAGTGGCTGCTTCCACAAAGCTGTCAGCCTCAGGTTGCTGGAGTTCGAACCTCACAACTCGCCCGCTGGCCAAAAGTGCCCTGAAGGCGTTCGAGGAACAAAAAAAAAAAAAATCCTTAAAAAGATCTGTGGATGTAGCTCAGTGAGTGCAAAGACCCTGGGTTCAATTCCCACAAAGCATAAAACTTGGGCTGAGGGTGTGACTTAGTGCTACAGCATTTGCATAGCATTCACAAAGCCCTGGGTTCATCCCCAGCAGCATTAATAAAAAATAAAAAATAAAATAAAATAAAAATCAAGTATCATTACTTTCTGGGCACAACAGAGCATGCCTGTAATCCCAGCACTTGGAAGCACAGGCAGAAGGATCACTGTGACTTCAAGGCCAGTTTAAACCACAGTGAGACCCTACCTCAAATAAACAAACCTTTGCTTAAGAATGGTGGCCACTGTCTCTGGACTCTTCACACATGCCGAGCGCTATGCTAGTCCAGGCCTCCCAGTCGGGAACGTTCTTCCTGGGCTATAGCTGGATTCTATGGCAGGATGAAGTCAGAGTGAGCCTAGTTGCTCCAGACTGCTCAGAACCAGCTATCCGATCTTGACCCAATAGAGGATCCAGAAGAGATGCTCTGGGTTTCCTCTCGCCAGAAAGTCCCAAGCCCATCGTGTGGTCCTTGTTCCTGTTAGTCGTCTGCACGGCCAGCATGTTTGGCTGGACTCCACTGTGAAGTTCTGGGGTCACTTGGGTTTCCTTTCCTCAGAACAGTCATGAAGATGGCTGGAACTCTGGGCAGGAATTTGATCACAGAAGGCTCTGCCAAACCGTGCATGTGCAACCAGGGGTGCACCCCTCCCTCTGCATAAGGACTGCTGGGAATGTGGGTGGCACAGAGGTTAGAGTGGTGCTCCATCAGTGTACTCAAAGGCCCAGCACGAGTTTGCAGTGCTCTGGAAGTGGAAGAGAGGATGTTTTAACTCAGTCTGTGAGAAGTGCACAAAGGCAGATTGCGTGCCAAGGCAAAGAAGTGGGCTTTCTGACTCCAAGGGCAACAGTCGGTGGAAGGACAAAAGGCACCCAGTTCTCTGCATCTTTGAGCTAGAAAATGGGCCAGACACTGGTGGGACAGACTTTCCTCTTCCACCCTAGTACTTCAAATTTCAGCAGGTGAAGCCTTTACCACTGGTAAGCAGCTGGGCCTGAGGCCTGAGCCTCAGCAGAATGCAGATGTTTCCTGAGGGTGGCTCAGGGCCACTTCCACCTATGTCTCCCCACTTTACTTTGGCATGGAGACCCTGCACTGCTGGGCCTGTGCTCTGGAGGCTAAGTGGGGAGAGAGCAGTCCTGCTGGTGAAGACTGTGCTTGGCCAGCTGCTGCTAGCTGTCTGGGAGGGGCCACATCCAGTGCCCAGTAGAGGGGCCCTGACACGCACTCTGACTGGCTCCCACCCCTTGCTCAGTCACACAGCACTCAGTGTCCATGATGCTTTTCATCTTCCTTGACACCTGAGAATGAGATGGAGAGCCCTGCTGGACAGATAGTTTCACTTCCTATTAAGAAAGGCTCCTCTTTTAGTTTTGAACACTCAGATGGCTACCTGTAGGCTGCTCCCTGAAGGAATGCTGGTGTCCTGGCAGTGTGCTCCCACTTTCCCACCTGGTCAGCGACGTCAAGGATGAAAACCCAAGGAGGTCTCATATTCTGCAGTTTATTTCTTAAGTTAGAGTATACACTGAGCTCAGCCAGAATAAAGTGAGCACATGGCTGCGCCATTTATTTCATCACAGTAAGAAAATAGCTCTCCATATTGCATCTCTTCTACAGTAACACCATTCTGGAAGAAGGAAGTACCCTCAAGTCAAAGTTGTCTGTAGATAAAGAGGGTTTTAGGGATAGTTTCCCCAATGGTGTTTTCAAGTGACCCCTTGATGCAAGGAGTGTCCCCAGCCCCAGGAACAAGAAGCAGCACAGGGGTTTAAAACCGTACTTCAGAGACACAGGCTTCTTCATGGCTACATATGAAATAAACTGTCCCCTTGGATAATGAGGGTCAGCCACAGTTGGCACCAAGAGTCCCCGACAACTCGGAGCAGCACTGAGGTTTCAGCTCTGGTTTCTCGGCTCCTTGAGGCAAGCTACACACAACAGGTCACCAGCACCAAACATCAGAGGTATGAGCTGCAAGGACCTTCTGCCCTTGGGGAGTCACGTGGCCCACTGAGTGGCCCAGACACTCACAGGAAAGCAACAGGCGATACACTCGAATCCATGATGACGCGAGGTAGTTGGAAAGACAAGGCTGATGGCCTTCTACCAGCCCTGGCCATCAGCTCCTGACCTGCTTGCCAGCCTCCTCTCAGAAGCTGACGAACCACAAAGGCGCTGTACACTCCGCAGGTCGTGCATCCTGTCAGCGGAGCCAGTATACATGATGGGACATGCAAGTGACAGTTTTCCAAATGCCTTTCCCATAATAAAATAATGTTAATAAAAACATAATTTAGAAGTGTCAAGGGAGGAGAGGGAATTAGGGAAAAAAGAAGAATCAAAATATATCATGTACAGGTACAAATTCTCTATGATGAAAGTGACCATTATATATATATCTAAAATGTACCAATAAAATAAAAGTGTCAAAAGCCAAGTATAAGATCATAGCTGTAAACGCCATCCAAGTCAAGGGTTCTCTTGAATCATCCCTGTTTTTAAAAAAAAAAAAAGCAATTAAATGATGCCTATTAAGTTGAAAAATTAAAATTTTCAGCCAGTTGTCATGGGGAACAATGCTAGGAGCCGATGATAAACAATTATAGCTAAAATTATAATCCCTATAGAACTGCACATTTCAAGACCTCACAGCCACCTCTGCCTTGACCTGATAGAAGCACCTGCCACCCCTGGTCTCATTTCATACCCCAGACTGCTGACACCCTTTACCCTTCGAGGCTCTCACTGACATCATCTGTAATTATGACTTTTTATTTTCTTTTTTGTTTTTGAAATGGTCTCACCATATAGTTCAGACTGGTCCCCCACTTCAGCTCCCCGAGGGGTGGAAGTACAGGGTGCATGTCTGACTTTCACATGCAGCAACAGTGTCCATAGTTACTGTTGATAAACTCGTATACGGACCCTGTCACCACCAACATGGACATTCAAAGTCTGTTTAATAAATACTCAGCCCTTGGTGGATTTCTGAAATAAGCAGCAAACACCAAGCTGTTTGCAAGCAGAATCTTTCTGAGGAACTTCCTGATGAAGAAGCCAGGTGCTGTGCAATGACCTGCCATACTATAATGCCTGTCGCCTCCTTCACAATCTCCAAGTTCACAGCTTCATGAAACAACAGGGCTGAAGCACCCAGCCTACCTAGTTGGCCAGACTGGCACCCGCATGCAACACGAGGGCCCAAGACACCTGCACAGTGACCTGTCTCGCACCATCCCTACTAGGACAACCTGCCCAGGCCCACACCGACCTTACTACTTCCATTCTCTGGCACATAAACGATTTTAACCCTAAATATTCATGATATACTTGTAAGCCTCGTGTATATCACCATTTAAGGTAATAATAACAAAGCTTAAATCACTTGGACTGAGGAAGTAGCTCAGAGGTCACATGCTTGCTTAGCTTACATGAGGTCCTGGATTCAATTCCCAGTTAATGTGGGGTGAAAAAAAATCACTTGACATTACCGAATCAGTTGTGATTTATTGATGGAAACTTCAGTTCAGTGATTTCAGAGTCAGGAGAGCTGCTCCCACTTCTGTCACTGTAGGTGTCCCTGTAGAATTCAGAAGGCCAATTCATCATCTTGCACCAAAATCTTTATTTCTCTGTTTTTGTAGGCACCATTACATGGGGACATGTGTCCCCACAGCAGAAATCCAACTTCTTACTACATACTGTTTTTGGCAAAAGGCTGCAGAGGAACTTCTTCCTCTGGCTGCAAGAGATACATACCTATTCATCCCTCAGTCTTCATATGCTACCCACCAACCCTGAGTAACTGGTTCAGATAAAAGTGGCAGTGGGGCAGAAACCCCCCAGCGGTGTGACTCACTCCTGGTGGAAATCCCATTGCCTTAACACAAACCACAGGGGTCTCTGCTCAGCATGTGCAGTACCCACGTACAGCAGAAGGGGGAGCAGTCAAAGAAAACCCTATGGATAGAGTGGGACCTTACATAAAATGTGAGGCACCGACCCAGGACACCCAGCCCTGGTTCTCTCCCAATAGCAGTGTGACACCTCACTGTGGTGAGTCCGTGACCTCATAGGCTTAGAGAAGAAAAGGAGCTGGCTCCTGAAGCAATGTCCCCACCTTGGTGAGAGTCTGCAGCCTTTCTGGAGGTAATGTGGAAGCTGCCCCACAGAGGCCAGCAGGAGGCCGAGGTAGGGTGGGGAGGGTTTGATAGGCCTGGACAGGAACTCAGGGTGGTACTGAACCCCAACAAAGAAAGGATGATCTGAAAGAGAAATTTAAAGATCCTCTATGTATATTGTACATGAATGTAAAAGAGGAAGGAAAAAATTTGTTAATCAGACTCTAATACTTGAAAGTAAAACCACCATTTGAATCTAAATAATGGCAACCCCAAGGCACGAGCAACCTGGCAACCTTTTCACTCACGCTGCTGTTCCCTCAAGGATAAGGGACATACACTTGGCTTCCCAGCTTAGTCACCAGTCCCTGTGACTCGCACAGCTGGAGTCATGGGGCTCACATGGTACCAAATGCAGCCTTTCATTCTGCAAGGGGAGCTGAAGATAAGCAGCTGCTCATAGAAAGCCATGCACCACAGTGAACTTCTCAGGGCTCTAGACCTCTCACCACCACCACCACCCCTTCCTTCAGGGGAGAGCGCAGCTTCACAATCCCACCAGGTCAGGAGCTAGATGCACAGTATTATGTTTTCCCACATGACAAGAAAGTCTTGTGAAGTTTTTCACTAAGCACAGCTACCCAAGCAATCACCTTCCAACTCCACAATCTCCATCCTCTCCCCTTCAACATCTTGGCCAACAAATTTCAGGCCTTGCTCTTCCAGGCACTTTTTCAAGACTGGATTCACCTGTCAAAGCACAAAAAATAGTTGTGCTGGGCTCTCCCCTACTGTCTGTCCAGGAATAGATGAGCCCACACTGGAGTCTGTACCTCAAATCGATGGCGGTGCCTCTCTTCCAAGTAGTCTAAATCTCCATACAGTTTCCCTGGGAAAAACAGAAAACCAGGCTGGGTGTTAAAGACTTGTGATTTCACAAATCACTCATTCACAGTGGTATCCTACTTCCAAAGGTTTACTTTTTATTGCCTACAGAGTCAGTGTATCACAGTTCTACCAACCATGGTCACCTGTGCTTCCCACCATCTAGACTAATTCCTGGGTTTCTGGTCCCTTGGACTGTGTTAAGGAGAATGATAATGGAAAGAGGCTTTCACACATTGCTGCTCTCACTCTGCAGCTGCGAGCCTCTGGGAAGGCAGACAGGCACCTATTAAACCAAGACCTCACAGAGAAGGAGACAATCAAAGCTACCCAGAGGACCCCTCAGTAAAAGCTGTCAGTGCCTGGTGGTTGCAGGGTGAACAGGAGGACTGCCTCACCATTCTCTTTCAGATGCCCACTGGGACTCCCAAATCCACAGGGCATTGCAGCAGTGAAAGGATACGAGCATCAGTACTCAGGCCAAGCTGCCATGCTTTGAGACATGGCATTTCTGCCAAGTGAAGTTGGAATGTTTCTAATGGGCATGGAAAAAAGCCCCACTGTAATAAAATAATTTTCTTAAATGTCTTTCTCCCATAATTTTCCTGAAATCTTTAGCATCTTGAGTAATTCTTAGAACAAAGTTCTATTTAGGTTGAACCACAGAAATCTGCCTTTATTATGCAACAACAATCAAGAGATTTCACACTGTTTCAACATAGCAGTATTAGCAAAGTAAGAAAGTGCAGTGGGTCTAATGAAACTGCCTCAGCCTAGGGGGAGTCCGGAGCACAAGGCTCTCATTCCATCACCAGCACCCTCCCTAAGACCCACTCTGCTGCTTTAGCTGTTGAAGTGCACCTGAAAGTGTGAACAGGTGCAGAGGTGGTGGGGAGCTCAACAGCAAGAACAAAACAAAGAAAGACAAGACAAAAGAACCAGCCTAGCTCTTTGGAGCCACAGCACCACCCAAAGACATGTGTCCTGGACAGCAAAGCCCAAGGTAGCTCTTACTCAAGACAGAGTTCTTGGTCTGGAACAGGGTTCTCCGCTTGCCCAACCTCATGGTTCCGCCCATCTGCCCAGGATTGTGTTCTGGCATTTCTATGACCTGGAGATGTTCAGAAAATAAGCACAGTATACTCAACACTTTCTGTAAGAAGCAAAACCCTCAGCACCAAATGGTGCCTGCCTGTGAGAGACCAGGCTGCACCATGCCAGCTCTGCCCCAGAAGAGACGCTGTCACTGGGAACTCCCAATGAAACATTTCTAGCCTCCAGGCCAGAGGTTCCATCCTTCAGCCTGTCCTTGTGAGGGTGGTCCTGCTCCCAGCACTGGGGATCACAGGGCCTACCAGGCTATTGTACATTCCAAGAAGGAGCAGAGCAGTGTGAATATGAGAGTAGCTGGTATGACATGTGTCTCCTGCATGCAGGCCTGAGGCTCTGCTCACTGGAGGGGTGCAGGGCCAGCACTCAGCAAGGGCTTAGCAGTGCCTATGAATGTGTGCACTGCGGCCCCCAGAGGGCAGAGCCCAGCTCACCTCTCGGCCCAGTGCTCCTGAACACCTTCTGGGCACCAGAGCATCCTGTGCCCACTCTCTACCTCAAGGGCCCATGCTTTAAAATCTTTGTTCTTCCCCTCCTGAGGCCTTCACATTAGCAAAGTTCAACTGCAGGTCAACAAACATACACTGATGCTGTCCAAATGCCAAGAAATTAAGAACCTTTCCCATCTCCCTTATCAGCGTCCTCAGTGACAGAAACAGTCTCTGTATGTGCTCAACATTTGCTGACTGCTGGAGGGAAAAAATGCATTTTAACATGCCTGTCACAGTTGGGGTACAGGTTCACGGGTAGATAGGTGCACTGTCCTTCCCAGTGAGCCTTAATAGCAGAGCTGGCTGACAGCACCCTGCACTGCTGCTATTAAATACACCACCAGGTATGCCAACCCAGAAGGGCTCTGGTTACTGTGAGACAAATCAGCACCATACCACAGCAATTCTTGAAGCACATGACCACGTCCCAGGACTGCTACTAGGGAAAGCAGTAACTAACAACATGGTGACAACACAGGTTGGTGAGCAACATATGCCTATGTCAGTGCTTCCCAACAGTATTATTTATAAAGTGCCAAAGGGTGGGCGTGGAGAATTTAATCAGGAATCTCCTCAAGGTGGCCGGTCTGATTCCTGTCATAAAGACTCTGAGGTAACCTGGAAAGACTAGTGAGGAAAAGCTCTTCCTGTCAATCAGATCTGTGAGCATAGACCTCGAGGTTCCTTGGGAGGGAGTCTCCGGCCCTCACTGCCTGTTTCTACCACAGCCTGCATCCTGAGCCCCTTTCAGCTCTGTCTAAGCTCAAGAGAGATCCAAGCACTTGACTCACCACAGGATGACTGGTCTTAGGGTCAAACTCTGTAGAATTGGCATCTGAAAAGTTCAAATATTTGTTATAAAAACAGCTAAAAATAAAGCCCATTACTTAACAGTTTAATTGCTAAGCGCTAAACTACATCACCATCACCTCCTTCAGTTTAAAAATCAATGATGGGAACAAAAGCTAGGGACTCAATAAGTGAACATGGGTGAGTTTTTTCTATACAATTTTTTTAGCTTTCTGGGAAGTCAAGTTGTACAAAATGGGGAAATCAAAACTATTGCCATAACCTAACAATCTTTATTTAGGTAATGTCTTTATGACAGACAGCTCTTACACTGTCATTTGCATCTTCTTGCATCTTGTTATAGAATCCATCTCTTTGAGATCAGTAGACCTGTATCTTCTATTTTTCTTTCATCCTCAGCATCTACTATGTTACCTTACTCAACTGCCAAGTTCAAATGCTAAACCAGAGAGTAACTGATTTCAACACAAATGATCTCTCTATTCTTCACTAAATTTCACACTCAACCATAAGCAATATTGCTGTAGCTAAAGGAACAGGTTCCTGGTACTACATGTCACTTCTTTCTGTGTTAAGCGTTAGGTACTGAGCCCCTCCTGGACCAGACCCAGGCCTCAATTACAGGGCTAGCTCACCCCCCAATTTGGGAGCCCATGTGAGAGCAGGGTGAGGGGGCCCAAGGATTTAAGGGGACCCTGAAGACCAGTTTGGTGTATGTGTGGAGGAACAAGTCCCTGCCATGACAGAAACCAGAACTACAGACATGCTGCCTCCTAAGCTGAGCCACTATCTCTCAGAAGAAAGGTGGACTGAAAGCCAGCCCTAGCCACAAGCTGGCCATGAAAGAAACTCTGGTACTGCGCACTAAGAAAGACTATTTTTTACTCCATTAGATTGCTTTGTTTCCAAGACTTTCTGAAAATCTAGGATCTGTCAGCTGGGCTAAGGGAACAAATGGCTGCGGCAGGTTATCCAGTGACATTCCGCAAGCCACATTCGCAGTACCCATAATCTGCGGCAATCTCCCATACTGGGCTTTACCTTGTTACTTGCTCTGGCCAACAGGCCACTGGCAAGTTCAACAAGTGACCCTGCAGTTGGAGAAGTCAGCTGCTTCTATGTGTGAAGAAGCCTGGGCACCATTACTGAAATCACCATACAGAGTCACCATCTCGGAGTCTCTGCTGGGCTGAGCACAACAGTGAAAGCCAGGCAGGATTTAGTGACTCTAGACACACTGCCGGGACAGAAACCCACCCAGCTGGGTCACCAACAGGACACGGAGAGGTGACAGGGATGTTAAAGCCACAGGAGAGGGGGTATTCATTAATACTGCTAGTAGACAAATCTGGTGTTATTTAAGTATTTCCTACTTGCCAGGAAATGCTGGGGACTATTGGTGTACACTGTTTCACTTATTTTAAGTTTTGGAAGTTGAGCCCAGGCAGCCCTGAGCTGCATCCCTAGTCCTTTTATTTTGAAGCAGGGACTCAGCTGGCCTCAAACTTATAATCTTCTTGCTTCTGCCTTCCGAGTAGCTAAAATTATAGGTATGCACCATGATACCCAGCTATTTCACCCAACTTTTACAACTATGTGAAGTGGGTACCATTTTGATTCACATTTTATAGAAGAAGCAGAGCTCCGGAGAGTCTATGTACGTTGCCTGAAATCACCCATAAGTGGTAAGTTAGAACAGGCAGTTCCAGAGCCCAAGTTGAAAACAACTGTACTGGTCTGTCTTAGGCTGGTGTCTTCTTGCTGGGCACAGACTGGACGGTGACCCTGGCGGTCAAATGGAGACTCTTAGGAACAGAATACGCAGGGAGGAAGGAGGTCAGGCTACACCACCCCTGCCCGCACCAGGCCCCAGGCAGCCTCTCCACAGCTCCTACTGCCCACTGCGTAACAAGGCCAGGGCCCTCCAGGCAGTGGCCCTGTAGGGACCAGACTCTCAGGAAGTGCTTACCTTGCCACCCCAGGACATTTCTTGAAAACTCAACCACTGCCAACTGCATCCCTAAGCACACACCTTTCAGGGAGAGAGAAAAGGAAAGGAAGCTCTGTTGAGACCACAGCTCCAACATTCCCTACATCCACCCAGGACCCTGCCTTGTACAGTCAGAGTCACAGTCACAAGTTTTTAATTTTGGGCTATAAGCAACCGCCCTTTGCTGTTATATTTCATCTGTACTTTAAAAAAAAAAAAAAAAAAAAAAAAAAAAGAGCATCTAAGTATATATGATGATTCCCAGGCTCTGCAAAGTTAACAATTTGAAAAGTAAAAAATATTCTTAGTATTTTAAAATTCAAGTTTCCTTCCCATCATCTCTCATAAAGTTCTCATTTACAACTGATCAAGTTAAAAATTACTCACGTTGACAGCACCAGAAAGCATCCAAAATCCCTTTGCTCAATTAAAGTCGGTGGGTACACCAAGTGAGGAGGACATAAAAACCTCCCATGCATACCAACAGAACTTCCTGCTGGGCAGTCCACCCTGAACTCCCCTGGCATCTACATGTAGCTTATGTGCTTCCTTAAGGAACAAAGAAACTGAATGTCCGCTGAAGAGAACCACACAAACTTCTATCTGAGCCGCTATCTACATAGATAGTACACATGTCCTGTTTCAAAACAACCCTGGCCTGATTCACCACCCCATTCCACCCAGCCGTTTTCTTCCCTTGCCTAGTCAGAATAAAGAGATTTACACATTATTAACTCCTTACCCAAAAAAGGCTTTTTCTGTTTCCGAGCCCAGGAAATTGCTTGGATTTTTCCTTCAGTCCCTCGAACACCAAACCCTCCTGGAACCAGCACACCACTGCACAAGAGAACAAGCACAGGCACGCCCCTGTCCATCAGCTCAGCTTCCACCCGCCACCCAAGAAGCCATTGCAGAGACTGGCGGGGCCAAGTTCCCCCATCTGTTTTGCTACTGAGATTAAGACTATGCTAGTTAAAGTAACCAATGAATCGTACATTTAAATGTAGAAATAGCAAACAAAACTGTGGACTTAGTCACATAAGAAAATGCTTATGAGTGGAAAAAGAGATGGGCACACTACTGTAACGCTGCTGCTGGACTCATCTCAAGTATCTTGGTACAACTTTGGATTCACAGTGCCGGGCATGGTGACACACACCTGTAATCCTTGCACTGGGGAGGCTGAGGCAAAAGGATCATTGAGAGTTCAAGACCTACAAGGGCTACAAAATGAGCTCAAGGCCAGCCTGAACAGCACAGTGAGACCCTGTCTCAAAGACAAAAAACACTTTGGATACATGTTAATATAACACAGCTCACTTTGCCTTTCCACTTTGCTTAGTGTTCTCATGTCAGAAGGGGTCTCCTCCTTAGCACAGAGCCACACTGACCAAGCGTCCAGCCTGAAACATTCAACTGCTCTAGTGAACTCTGAGTTCTTGCCAAGGTTTTACTGTTAAAAACAATAGCTGCTATGACTGGAAGTGTGGATCAGAAGCAAGAGTACCTATACATGCAGCCCTGGGCCCAATCCTCAGCACTACAAAAGAAAAAGAAAGAAAAGGGGAGAAACACAGGATGGTGGGCAGGAGGGCGGAAGCTGCCAAACAAATATGAGATGTAACTGATGGCTACTTATCAAATATCTTAGATGAAAACTTTAAATGAACCTAAGGGTGAGTTGCACACAGTATTCAAACTACAACTGATTTTCTTTAGCCCCAACTATATTGGCAGGCAGTATATTTTCAGAAGCTTAAATCACATAACAGGCAGTCTCTTCAATAACTAAAACATATTTTCACAAGTAGATGAACTGCTATCGGCACTGAAGTGCAGGACCAGGTTCACTGATGCAAGCTCAAAGCCCCGGCTGGCCGGAGCGAGCAACTTACTGGGCACTGCACAGCTTCTGCCACGCCTCATGGTAGCGCACAGGCTCCTCCTGCATAGTGCTCAGCTCCAGGTCCGTGGAATCTATATACTGGGCACCAGGGCAGAGAAGAGGAAATTAGTTATTCCCAGTGAACTTCCATGACTTGAAGTAGTAGTATCAATGTTGCATTTCTGGTAATTTTGGTTTTAAAGTAATACTTAATAATGTAGGGCTGGCCAAATAGCTCAGTGGGCTAAAGCACCTGCTTAGACAGGTGCAGGGATGGGGTTCAATACCCGGCATGCCATGCCAGCCTGCTCCTAGGGTGCACTGAGACAGCAACTGAGACTGGGCGTGGTGGTGCATGCCTGTAATCCCAGTGCTTGCGAGGCTGAAAACAGGAGGATCACTATGAGTCTGATCTGTGTAATGAAACCCTGTAGACCATGTACTAAATACATTAAGTATATATGTTTTCCTTCAAAATTGTTTAACTCTGAAGCTGGGGATTCCAGCACTCAAGAGGCTGAGGCAGGAGGGCTTCCATGAGATTGAGGCTACCCCAGAGTACGTGTAGAGTTCAAGGCCAGCCTGAACTACATAGCAAGATCCTGTCTCAAAAAAAAAAAAAAAAAAAAAAAAAAAAAAAAAAAAAACAGCATAAAACTGTTTATCTCCACATCGGGCTTCATCTACTCCAGACTTGGTCCGTTTAGAACCCTGGCCCAGCTAAGCCACTGAAGGGGACCATCAAGTACGCTCATGTGTGCGCAAGTGACACTCCCAGCCACCCTCCACGGTTTTCTGTGTTTATTTTCACTTCTGACAATACTGATGTATAATCTGTATACAGTACAACACAAGCATTTTAGGGCTGGGGATGTAGCTCAGCAGTGCACTGCCTACATGGTAAGCATGAGGTTCGAGTTAGATTCCCTGGACCAAAAAACAAGCATTTTAGACCCATTTTGACAAATTTGGTCAAACACAGACCTGAAGGAAAAAATGCTGCCCTAATCAAGATACAGAAAGTACATGGCCACAGAAGGCTTCCTCCCTCTACTACTGCAGAGAAGCCTGGAATCATTTTCTGGCACCATGGGTTAGTTGCAGCTGGATTCTCTTGTTCAGTGGTTTTGAGGTTCATAACTGTTGCTGTTTATAGCTCAATTTTGTCCCTCTTTCAACTGAGTAGTTTTTCTTTCAACTGTGTAAATAACCCACAGTACATCTACCTATTGACCTGTTATGGGCAACTGGGTTTTTCTTGATGTGGGCTACTAGAAATAACACACTTATTTATATAAAAATTTTTTTGTATGAACACATGTTTTTGAGCAAACAAATATCTGGGCTTGAAATTCTGTGGTGTGAAAGAGAGCGCCAGACTGTTTCCTAAAGTGCTCACATCAGGTATGCGAGTGCCACGCCCTCATCAGCACTCTTCGCCACCCTTCTGGGTTTCTCACTATGATCAATCTCCATTTATTCCCCTGACAAGTAAGGGTTGGTCTGTCTACACTCTCGCTACTGTCGGAGACAGTCAGGGCACATCCAGGTCCGCTTAGCTTCTCTTTGCCGCAGGCCAGCCCGGGACAGTGAGCCAGGCAGTGCTTCTACCAGGCCCACCATTTCCCAGGGCAGTTACAGGTGGGCACCTGATCCTCAGATCCAAGACTCTCTACCTCTACTCTGACAATTTTTCCCCTTCATTATTTCTGGACAACACTCCACTGTTTTTTGAGAGCCAGGAGCTAAATCTTTCTTATCCTTGAAAAGAAATTTAGAGCTCCAGAAACAAAGTAGACACACCCACAATGTCTACAAGAATACAGACCATTTCCCTATTAACCCCTTTGCTGTACCTACAATATCCTCCTTACCTTAATTTCCAATTTGTGGTTGATTGCGAGTGCAGAATGCTCCAGTGCTTTAATGACTGAGGCGTAGGAGTCTGAGAACTTGGTGTATTTACCCACAAGAGCAATAGAACAGGTTTCTAGCAATCGATCATACCTATCAAAGGCCAAGAAATACCTAATTAATCAGAATGTACTCACCATCTCAAGCCCAAAAAGAACAAAAACCTGAAAATGTAATAATGGGAATGAACATCACCCTTGAGTGTTATATATAACTAGTAAAGAAGCAAATTTCAAGCTGTTCCAAAGTATCACACACAAAACAATTGATCCCAAAGGGGAAAATTTTTTGACATAATAGGTAATTTACAAAGTAAAGGGAAGGGTCAAGTAAGTTATGGGTCTTTAACAATAGTCCACATTTGCTAAAAATTTTTATTGTAGTTAGTAAAAGAGTAAGATGTTTATAATGTTTTATGAAAAAATGACCAAAAACTGGGCCACTGTGATAGCTACATGGAAATGGACACAAAGCCAGGAGTGGTTGCATACACCTGTGATCCCAACATCTGGGATGAGAAATATGAAGGCCAGCATGGGTTACCCAGTGAGTTCAAGACCAGCGTGACCTAAAAATGAGACCTTGTTTCCAAAGACAGGAATGGATGCATTTACGAGCAATGTAAAGGAATGAGAACCAAAGGAGAAAATATCAAAGTGAAAATACCTATCATGGATAAGCTGCTTCAGCGCTTGCTTATGCGGAGATGTCAGATTAGTGTTACTCCAAATGTTAATAAAAAGTTCCAGTTAAAGAAGCGGTGTAAAAAGCACTGGGGCACTGTGATTGATGTGCAAAAAGCAGACATTTAGGAGGAGGAGGCAGCAATACCCTCCACTAAGCACTTTCTGGCATGGGGTGAGTGGATTGTTTCCAGAAACAGTGTAGAGAGCAGGCTGGCTACACAGGAGACTGTGCAAGCCAGGCAGAGACGAGAATGTTGGCAGTACAAGATACCCACGGACACTAGGCCCCTGTGCACTGACCCTCTAGCTAGCAAGAGATAACTGCAACAGAATGTGTATTCTTAACTCTCTGTCTGGAGGCCTGGAACTGATCCAGCTTGCTTGCACTCTCCATCCATGTTAAAGCCATATGACTGCGGTACGCACTCTAACATCTCTCACCACAAAGACCCTTGCTAACATAAGTAGACAGCTCAACATCTAACCTGTGATGGCCTTTCTGAAAGCCCTGACACCCATTTAACAAGAAAGGCTGTCGATAGAAAGTCAGAATCCAGACATGCCATGCAAATTCCTCCCTTGGCTAGGCTGCCTCTAGCCAACCAAAAGCCATGCTAGCCAGGGAGATGGCTTAGTAGAATAAACACTTCCCTTGCAAGCACAAGGACCTGAGATCAATCCTGGGTTCCGGAAAAGGCCGGGGGGGGGTTTTTTTTTTTTTGGCAGTGTCTAGGTGTCAGTACGGTAAGTGCTTGTCTGACAAGCACAAGGGCCTGAGTTCAATCCCAGGTTCCGAAAAAAAAAAAAAAAAAAAAAAAAGCCATACTGTCTCATACAAAGGAAGCCCACGGTGGTCCCTCCCTGCCTGACCCAGACTGCTGGGGCGGGAAGGGATCAAGAGGCCACAGAGAATCCCCACCCCACATTCTAGAGACCCAGCCAGGGCAGCACTAAGCTGGACATTCAGGAAGCCCATGACTCCTCCCCCAGCACAGGGAACTAGCACAACAGCCCAGAAAGCAGGGCACACCCATAAAACAAGTAGACACAATCACACGGACCCCATCAGTTGGAAGACAGCGGGTCTCTCCCTCACTCTGTGAAGAAAAGGAAGACAAGGCCCTGCAGCTAACAGCAACCCTAAGCACTTCTTCAGGGCTAAGCATCCACCGCAGCTCAGCACACGGCTTGCTGTGCAACCTAAGCCATCACCTACTCCTTGACTCTGAAGAAATTCCTCCCGTTGCATTGAAACCTACTCCCTGCCAATACCCACACAGTTTTCAGATCCATTATCAGAGGGCACCCAGGCCCCTCCACGGCCCTTGCCTAGTGACAGACATCTGTAAGGTAGTGGGATTATGGGCTCCTACAGCCCTGGTTCTATTTGCTCCAAAGGGCCAGCCGGGTCCCAGTGCTTCTTACAATGACACCAGTTATTAACTTTCGGTGGAACACTAATCTCAAATCTTAGGGCTTAAACTAGGAGCCATCTATTAGTTTGTGATTCTACATGCAGCAGTCTGGCTGGACTCAGCGGCGTTCTGCTGCTGGTATCCACCGGCTCATTCATGTGGCTACAGTCAGCTGGGAATGCCACCAGGGTTGGATGGCCCAGGATGGACTGAAGGTGACCTAGTGTTTATTAAATGCCTACCATGTGCCACGTACTGTGGGCAATACCAGAGTGGAGACAAATTAAAGTTTACTGAGCTCCAGCCTTTGGTTGGGCCACTCAGAGATGGAAATTTTAGCGTTATTATCTCACCTAATTCTCCCAATTACCTGATCAGAGAGATGGCATTATTGTCACCTCCACTGTACAGATGAGGACACAGAGACTCAAAGAGGAGCGCTGATTTGCCTGAGATGTCAAGACCCAGAGGTAGAATTCAAGCCCAAGACTCCCAAGTGCCTGTAGAGCCTCTGCTCTGCCACTGTACCCTCCTGGCTCTTCACACACACAGACACTCTGCCCTCACACTGCTTCAGATGTGACAGGGACCGAATGGAGATGACACCCGACATGCGGACTTCCATGGCTTCCCCTGTAAGGTTCCAGCACCTCTTCTGTGCTGGCCAGCGGTAGAAGCAAGGCTTAGGGAAATGTCTCAGACCGGGGATGAAGCAGCACAGTGGAGCAGGCAATGCGTAAGCCTGCCTGGTTCGGGCTCAGCACTGGCACATTCATCAGCCCGATTCTTCAGACGCATCCGGATGACGCTGGTGAGAACACACACTTCGCAGTGAGCTCCCCTTCCCAGCTGGGCAAGGTCTCTGAGCCCATTACACGGTAATCGGAGGTCAAGGTCACTCTCACTGGGACAGTCAAGGGCTCTGGAGCCACCCTGTGAGCCTGTCTACAAAGCTGGGGAAGGGCACCTGCTCGCAGCACATTAGCAGATGCCAGGGTAGGAACAGCAGCTTCCCAAGAAGGTGACACGTCTACAGTCTTCTAAAAGGAGCATGGGGACTCCGGGGCCCAAAGCAGTAATTTCTGCCAGTCCAAGGCTAGCATGTTCAGAAATGCCGCATTCCTGTGCCCAGAGGCCCAGGCGCTAGGGAGATGGGGGGCAGTGGAAAGACGCTGGTCTCACACGGAGATGGTCCCTCGGCAAATTTCACCTCTACTGGTTTCTGGCTGCTGCCTAAAGTTCATGGCATGCTCTTCTTGAGCAGCTTTCTCATCACCCGTAGAATAGGAGTGCAATTCTCCACCTTAGCCAGCGCTTCCTGTGCGTCTCAAGCTAAGGGAAGTACACCGAGACTATACAGGTAGGAGGTCAGGACAACCCAGATCCTGGGCTGGAAGATCACATCAGGTCTGGAATTCACCTCAAAATCCACCAGAAAGCCAGACAAAACGCCCCTCTCCCTCCTCTCACTCCTTTCTTCCAGTTGCTTCCTTCATTCTCCTGCCCCTGCAGACAAGCTTCTTCCACTCGGCTGCACCCAGTGGCTGCCCTGGTGTTCCCTGCCCTGCGTGTGACTGTTCCTGCCTCACGCGCTCTGGCTGCTCTCTCAGTCCTAATTCCGGACGCCTGGGAAGGAGAATGCAGCCCAGCTTGGGCCTGGTCAGCTGTGGCACGGAGAGCTATGGGTAGGTCACCTGGCACAGTGGACCCCGTGAATGAAATGAGAAGAAGGGGGTTTCTCAGAAAGAGTAGAGCCACACTCAAGACGCGCCCCACAGAGCCCCAGCATCCTATGTGCTTAATCCACGCAGGCAGCTCTAGGAGCACTGCTGACTCTTTTCTCGTCTGTGTGCTCAGAAGTAGCATTAAGTTACAGTCCGCTCTCTGTATCTGTGGGCTTTGCATCATGGATTCAAACAGACAGGAAACATTTTTTAAAATATTGTGCACATTCTAAGGATGTACAGACATTTTTTCTTGTCACTATTTGTTAAACAATAGAGAATATAGCTGCTTCTTTAGTATTTATATATTAGGTATTATAAATAATTTAGAAATGATTTCATATTATAAGTCATATGCAAATACCATACCATTTTATATAAGGAACTTGAACAATGATGGATTTTTGTAACTGAGGAGGACTCTGGAACCAATTTTTCAGATACTGAAGTTCAGCTATATAGTTTGTAATATGTGCTTTTTAAATAGTGTATGCTTCACATATGCTGTATAGTACTGTATTTACTGTAAGCAAACATGGTTATTACTATAAGAATTGAACACATATAAATATAATAAATTCCAAAAATTAAATGTAATGCATTTTGAAAAATCAAATTCCACATTTGCTATTTGCCTTACGTGCTGATTGCATAACCGAATGCCCTGCTCCTGTTAAGTCCTATGGTGGCCTCACTATAGCTAGGTGGGCCCTCCCGCCCTCCCAAGTCTCCCTCTTGCCCAGATCACAGGGCTCTTGTCCTGATGTGGCCTCAGTGGAGAGCAGTCTGCCACCCTTCCTGTTCCCCTTGAAGCCCCACCCGACCCCTGGCCTGCACTAGCTTGCTTGTCTGCTGGCTCACCGTCCTCCAGCCCCGGGTGTTCCTTATTTCTTCAGACCTGAGCCTTTACACATGCTGCTTCTTTTCCCAGAACATCTTCCCTCTGTGTTGGCAGAGTTGATTCCTCTTCCTCAGAGCTCAACCTAATGTTACTTGGCAGGGACACCTTTCCTGACCCCTCTATGACGTAAGCTCAAATCCTTCTGCTGTTTTCCTTCCTAACTCTTGACAGTTTGTACTTGTTCTGTTTTGTTCACTTGATTTTTGCTTCTCTTATCACTGAATTACACTCTATGTTAGGGAGCGCCTGGTACAAAATAAGGGTTCAGAAAAGTATTTTGCAATAAATGAGTGAATGAATGCATGAATGAGTATATTGTCATACCCCAGCAATCACCCAAATTCTACTGACAAGAGAGAAAGTCCAAAGGGCAAAACGTTCCTCCTCGGAACCCTACAGTGGTCCCTCCTGGCCCTCAGGGTCACACCAGGGAGTGCTTGCTTACACAGACAGCCCAGGGCAGGAAGGGCAAGGCCCAGGCTCAGATCTGCACCCTCACCATTGTCATCTCCACAACTGGAGCTGAACTCACTTCCCTCTCTGAACTGCAACTCCTTTCCGAAAACTTTGTATAAAACTCTGCTGCTATTTACCTGCATAAAAAGCATAGAAAGCTTTGTATACATGGTTTCCAATATCCTGAGTACAGACTGGGACCTTTACCTTTCAGGCCTGCTCTCTCCCTCTCCAGACACAAATGCCCATTATTCTAGCTCTAGCAGGGAACCTGGTACTTCCTGAGTCTCGCCCTGTGCACTCACACCTTGCTGCGCTCACGCAAGAGCTGTGTTCTTAGTTGTGAAAATCCATTTCCCTGCCTATTCCTGACCATTCATGAAGTTTCACTCCTCCTCAGTATCTTCCCAGCCCTCTGGCTCCCTTCATCTTTCACATCTGCTTGCACCTAGAAACATCTGTTTCTGCATTCTGAACCCTGCCCTGGTCCAAACTGCTCATCTCAACACTGCACTAAATGGAAGATCCTGTGCCAGCATTAGGACTTCAGAGTACAGAGAGACCCCTCCCTGTCTTTCAAAATGTCACTGTCTATTGGGATCAAGGAAACCATAAAGCACTTGATAACTGATTTTGCAGGCCAGGAAATCAGTGAGGTCCACAAGCACTGAACTCACACAGCAGTGTTTGAATCTTGGGATGGATGGAACTGAAACCTAACTACAGTGGCTTAACTAAATAGGAAATGTTTTCTCAAATAGCTGAGAAGACCCAGGTAGGAATCCCAGACTGACACAGAGGTTCCACGGTCCAGATTTCACTCCGCCATCCTGAGCATGGACCATGACTCTTCTTCTCTAAATCATTATTTTCATGTATGAAAATAACAGTGCCTCCTCCTAGGGTTATCAAACATAAGAAACGAATTGACATTTGTAAAGGACGATGTCTGGTACACAAGTGTCAGCCATCATCACGACCATCTTGATCGTGATCATCATTCTGTCCTCAGATGAAAGGAAGCAGCTTTTGCCCCCTTGGATGTCACAGCCTCATCCCTGGCAGGAAAGGAAGGAAGCAGAGCACAGAGAGTGAATGCTGGCTAAATGCTCTCTTTGTTTTTATTTTCAATTTAGATCACATTTACATAACATTTAAAATTGCCACTTTAAAATGAGAAATTTAGTACATTGATTTCCCAAACATTTTTTACTACCCCAGAAGGAACAGAAGCCTCAAAGCCATTAAGCAGTTGTTCCCCGTCCCCCTACCCCTAATCCCTGACAATAGGATTTACCACTTCTGCATAATTCCATCATTATTCAAAGAGTTTTCCAGGAAACTCTACCCTTTCTCTTCAGCTCACATCGCATTGTCTGATTTTTCACTGAGCACACTGCTGCCCTAAACACAATCAACGTCTCTCCTTCTACATTTTAATACTTAGAGTGCCTATAGCCATATTTTACTGATGGAAAGACATATGAATTGTTTTTTCCATTTTAACTTTTTCAGAGCCAGAATCTCAAATCAATAACACCTCATATTTAATGAAATTCAGTCGATGTCAGGCACTGTTCTAGGCACCCAAATCAAATGGGCCAAGTTCCTTGCTCTTAAGGAGTTAACATTCTAATGGTGAGAAGATAAGCAACTGAATATAATAAATAACTGAGTTAGTGTGTTAGAAGATGATAAATCCTTAGAAAAAAATAAAAACTAGAGCAAGGAGAGTCCCATTCCAGGGATGGAAGAAAGACAGTTTGCTATATTAGTGAATTAGTTATCTATTGCTGTGCAAATATGACCCCAACGCTTATCACCTTAAAACACAAATATTTTAGGCCGGAAATGTAGCTCAATGTTAGCACAAAGTTTCCTAGCATTCATAGGGCCCTGAGTTCAATCTCCAGCACTAAAAAACAAAATAAAAATAAGCTAAGCAAACCTATCTTTAAACTCAATTTCTGTCGGTCGAGAATCCAATAGCAGCTTACTCATCCTATTCTGGATCATGTTGCAAATAGCATGTTGGCTGGGACTGTCAGTGCCTGAAAACTTGACCAGAGCTGGAGGCTTTGTTTCCAGGGCGGTACACAGGTACAGCTGTTGCCAGAGCTGTAGCTCGTTACTGGCTGTTGGCAAGATACCTCGATTCCTTGTCTTATAGATTTGTGGACCTCTCCATGGCTACTTGAGTCTGCTTAGAGCAATCAGCTACCTTCCCCCACACCAGGAGAGAGAGAGGAAGAGGAGAGAGAGAGAGAGAGAGAGAGAGAGAGAGAGAGAGAGAGAGAGCCAGCCCACGGTGCCTTTCATGACCTAGTCTCTCTTGCAAGTGACATCACTTCTGCTATATTCGTGTTAGAAGTGAGTCATGATATCTATCCCCCATTCAGGGAGAGGGGATTTTAGGGAAAGAATATCAAAGAACTTGTGAAAGTATTTTGGAAACATTAAAATTAAATAAGGCAGTCACGATAAGCAAAAGGTGAGCTGAGATGACAGAATGGCTGAGCAGGTATGGAGGAG